ATTGTAAAAACAAAGTAAACCAGTGCTTTTTGTTAACTTCATAAAGAAAAGAAAGTATTGCTTTGTGTATTTAAATATGTAGAAAATTTCAGTAATGGCTCAAAATTTCCCACCAGCCAACAATTCAACTACTTTAACGAGAGAGAGAGAGAGAGAGGCTTCTCTCATCTTACTCCTAGTTGCATTGATGCTTGACATTGCACAGACTGGAAGTCAAGTGTGTCAAACTAAAAGCTATCATAAATTTCACTTTAATTGACTATGTTCAATAAGGCTTCCTCTTTGTTTTTCATTTTTCGTTTCTCAGTAGTATTCTAATTTTGCAGCAAGGTATTGGATGTCTTTATAAAAGCTGCAGAATTCATGGAAATCCCTGTTCGGCGAAGTGATGGGGAGCCACTTCAGAAATTATTTATGTTGGTTAGGAGTGAGCTAAACTTGGACCTTAAGAATATTTGCCAAGAACAAGTTAAGTTTTGGAAGCAGCACCCAGCTTTAGTAAAGGTGACTCACATGCAGCCATGCCTTAGTCTATTTATTTTAGTATCTTATTCTTTCAAATACTCTGAAGGTAAGGCTGATTATAATTGCTGTAGTATTTACTACCTTTCTACTTTTCAGGCAGAATTGTTGATCCAAGGCCAGTTGACTCGTGAGTCTGAAGCTCTGACACCAGCTTTGTTGCGTGATTTTAGACGAATGCTTGAGCTTTCACCCCGCCTTCTTGAGGAACTGATGAAGGTAAATTTAAAACTGAGTTTTTCTAGCACGTTAATGGATTTGTTGCACTCAATTTTTGAAAACCCTCTCTCTGACTCTGCATTAATATTTGAACATATTGATAAGATTAGCTCCTGATATATTGTTGCTCTAAACATGATTGATATTCTTGAAAAAAAAATTGGTATTGTTGTGACATCTAAGAGTTTTGAAGGATTTAGTAAAAAATTGATTGCATTTTCCATCTCAGCTTCTTTGGTAAAGAAGTGAAAAAGAACAAGTTGGTCTCGCAATCCATAGCAGTCCCTCATCTTAATCATAATTTTCTAGATAATTAATGCAATAGGCCTTAATATTTTGAAAATTCTAGACTGCAAAACCATTTTGCTCTGTAGCAGGCAGAGATGTTTGAGTGCATTTCCCAAGTTCTCTGCCATCTTATACTTTTCTGAAAAGCTATTGTTTGCAAGTCCTCGTATTCTTTTCTGCATGCATTGGAAGCTGTAATAGTCAGTATGTTATATATGAACACATATGGCATTAATACCACGCACTACTCAAGGGCATTGATGGTTGAGACCTGCAATTGGTGCTGTTGAGCTTTCTCAGAATATCATTCAGGTATGCCTATATACTCGTTGGATGGAATCTTTTTTCTTTTCTCGGAAAAGTTGGCCCTTTACTGCTAATTTTGGTGCCATATAATGTTTTAGTTACCTCCGTGTGTATGTGTTTCATTTGCAAAATATCAAAGGGGAAAATGTTATTATGAAAACTTAATATTAGATTTTTTTATTTGCATATCCTTAGCATTAAGTTGAGTGTAAGAAGGATCAATTTCCTAAAGGGTCACGATTATTTACTTTCCTCTTTTAGAATTAGCAAGCTGTATTTCCTTCTGGAGATTGAAGTGGATTATTACTTTTTGGGCTGACACTGCCGCATCAGTTGTCAATTTGTGTGGCACCGTCTAATAATTCAATAGGTTGTCTTCACTTCGATTTGTTTCTGATACTGTTATATCTAGTCATTCTCTTTTAAAGAAATTTTCTTTTTGCACTATTATCTCTCAACATATCGATGACCTTTTTTATTTTAATTTTTTTTATTTATTCATCGAGTCAGGCCATTCCACTAAGTGCAAGAAAGGTTGCTGGGGGGGGTCTAGTGAAGGTGTTGCACCGTTTCTACAGTTGCCGCATTTTAGTGAGGCCATGGTTAAAAAGATAGCACGGAAGGTAGTGATATGCTCCTTTTATTGGTTTTTGTACTGCACCAAGAGTCTTGATGCATCTGCAGGAATACTGTGTTGCCACCTGTGTGTAGGCTGCTCTTCAGGTTATATCGGTTTGGTGCTTGATTATTATCTTTATATCAAGACACATTATGTCAACCATTTGACATTGTTTTTGGATTAAATTGTTTGTGGGTTAGAAAGAAAAATGTCAGTTGATGGGCTGAAGCCTCGTAGACTTCAGATTGAAATTTTCTCATTTGTGGAAATAGTTATATTGTTTTGGAAAGAGGCGAAGATGTTCTGTAAAAGATGTTGCCTTGATGTTGTGGTGTAACATGCAAGAATCATAGGACATGGCATTAGTTAACATTTTGCATCCGTTTTCCTATTACTCTTGGTTTGTAAATTCTATTTCACCATGCCTGCAGAAAGTGCGGACGTTTCAAGATTTTCGTGACATGACCTTAGAAGACCGGGTTGAACTGCTGACTCAGGTTGCCGGATTATCTCCTACCGAAAGAAAAGATGTGGAGATGGTTCTTGAAATGATGCCTTCCTTGACAGTTGATATCATGTGATAGACATAAGGCGAAGAAGGGATACAAGAAGGTGATATCGTCACAATGCGTGTTTGGATCACACTTGAGAGGGGGAGCGGCCTCGTTGCAGCTCTTCCCCATGCTCCTTACTACCCGTTCCACAAGGAGGAGAATTTCTGGTTACTGCTTGCAGACTCTGTCCAACGATGTTTGGGTCTCCCAAAAGGTGAGCTTCATGGATGAGGCCGTGGCCATAACAGCAGCATCCAAAGCAATTCAAGAGTTGAAGGAAGGCTCAGGGGCAAGCCTGAAGGAGACAAATGCGGCTGTTAGGGAAGCTGTCTAGAGAGTAAGGAGAGGGTCAAGGTTAGTAATGGGCAAGTTCCAGGCTCCTGCCGAGGGAAAGTACAACTTGACTGCATTCTGCTTGTGTGACTCTTGGATCGGCTGTGATAGGAAGACGAACCTAAAGATCAAAATATTGAAATGGAGTCAAGCAGGTACAAGGACCGGCCCCTTGTCAGAAGAGGGAGCTGTCACGGAAGAGGGGATTGAGGAGGAAGAGCAGGAAGAAGATGAATATGATGATTATGAGAGTGAATACAGTGAGGATGTAAAGGACGGAAAGGATTCAAAGAGGAAAGGAGTTGTGCCCGGTGCTGGTGCTGCTGCTGCTGAAAATTCAGATAATAAGTGAACTTTCCTAATCTTTCATTTTGTTTTTGTGAGAAAACAAGGGATGAATCTTCTTCTTCTTCTTCTTCTTTTTCTTTTAATATTGCAAACATCGATTACAAAATATACAAGTTCACATCTTGATATGAACTTTAAATGTTATTTGCTTGTGTCATAGATTCCTTAAAGCCATTCAGTGTTCAGTAAATTTGGGTACCGAAGAGCAGTTTTGTTGCATTTGGCTTGCTTTGCTTGTTGCTAAATCACAATGTTCCGTAAATTCTTTCCAAAATCTACTTGAGCAAATGGACAACGGTAATAATATTGGCTACAACACTAATTCCAACAATTCCTGATATAGCTTGCAGGAAATTAAATATTCCTAATTGATAGGGGCGTAAAAGTTTGAGTGAACAAAGTTATGTCTGTACTCGTTTGTATATTTATGGAATTCATTTATTTATTTTTTGAAGATGTTTATGTTAGGTTCATTTAGATTTTTAATATCATAATGAAAGGCGCGCTTCATGATACTCGCCTTCTTGTACGAGTCAGATTTTCCTTCGAAGGCGTGTTTCATGATCAATGCCTTTCAACGAGGCTCCAGCTCGGACAGAACCCCACGAAGGCACGCTTCATGATCCGCGTTTTGTTAGAAAGGGTGTTAATTCGATAATATTTAGAGAAATGGTGCCTGACAGGTAATATTTCGTTGTTGGGGTGATTTTTGGGTAAAATCACTCATTTTCTTGGTCCTCATTTTATATTTTAAATTTTAATGATAATAGAGACTAAATTGAACATAGGATGAATTTTAGAGTTTAAACTATAAAACCTAAGAAACTTAAGGATTAATTGGGTAATTTTATTATTTTTCTTTGGCTTGCAGATAAAAACGAAAACTTTAAATGAAAGTTAATCGAACATAACATGTTTGAAAACATTAATCGAACATGTTCGGGAACGTTAAATGAACATGTTTATTCAAGCCAAACGAACGAACACGTGAAGGTGCGCTTCATGATCCGTGTCTTTCAACGTGGCGCCAGCTCAAACAAAAACCCACGAAGGAGCGCCTCATAATCCACACCTTTCCACCGTGGCGCCATCTCGGACAAAACCCTACTAAGACACGCTTCATGATCTTCGCTTTGTCACAAAGGGTACTAGATCAATAATATTTGAAAAAAGGGTGTATGACAGGTAATATTTCGTTGTTAGGGTATTTTTGAGTAAAAACGCCGAGAAAATGAGTCAATAAGCTAGCTTATAACCAAGTCAACAAATGAAAACAAGTCAATAAAGGAGCTTGGTTGTAAATAAAAGCAAATAAAACACAGCTCTATTTATGTTTAATATTTTATTAAATAAAATTAAAAAGTTTGTTCATACTCGTTTATTTAACTTAATAAGTGAACAATTCACGAACTATTTGTCGAAGTCTCTGTTCATCTACACACTTAATAATTGATTCCAACAAATATATAAATTGTTATAAGAACTTGATTACAATAAAAGCTATCAAACAAGTGCATCAAAGTTCACAAGAAAATGATGATCACCTTCTTCTAGATACTTAAAACTATGAAAAACGATTAGTGTCACGGGCTACTTTCATCGAAGGAAGCACGATTGCAGCCACCGGATTACCCTCACGTCCCCCGCTTTCATCGATAAACAAGTCGATAAAGAAGATTATAACTGAGTCGATAAACAAGTCAATAAAGGAGCTTGGTTGTAAACATAAATGAACAGTACACCTCTGTTTATGTTTGTTCTTTTATTAAATAAAATTAAAAAGTTTGTTCATACTCATTTATTTAGCTTGATAAGCGAACGATTCAGGAACAATTCTTCGAACGCTCTGTTCATCTACACCCTTAATAATTGATTCCAACAAATATATAAATTGTTGGTTTAAGAACTTGATTACAGTAAAAGCTATCAAATAAGTGCATCAAAGTTCACAAGAAAATGATGAACACCTTCTTCTAGATACTTAAAACTAAGAAAAACGATTAGTGTCACGGACTACCTTCATCGAAGGAAGCACGATTGCAGCCACCGGATTACCCTCACGTCCCCCGCCTTCATCAATAATCAACCTAAGACCTTCAATATGAAGTTTCCCATGGTGACCACTTACCACAATTGTCTCAGTTAGCTCCTGCAACATATTCAGCACCAAAACACTTGCATCACTCTTGAGAATCATGTTATGATCTGTGTGCATAAGTAAAACAATGTTGAAGACGGATTCGAGTAGTTTACCTTGGGGATATCCCAGACATCCTTCCTGCCGCTGAGACCAGTTACTATGGGCACACGGGCGTCTCTGGCTTTCAGAAATTCGAGCTGCTCTTGGACATTTTTACCTCTCTCTAGACCAGCATGAACAGCAATCAATTTACAGTGTTTAACTCCTTCCTGTGTCTCAATACAAACATCATCCTGGAGAAATTGCACCCTCAAAACACTAAGTTGCTATATTTACTCTCAAGAAAGTAGAAACTAAAGATTTGCTTATAGCACATTAGGATTTACCTCTTCATGAACCCAAACCATCTCTGCTAGAAATTTCTTGTGGTCCTCGGGAACAACCTCCATCAAATCTTAGACAACAAAAATCAAGCTTTTTTATTAAGAATAAGGCAAGATTTTGCTTCAGATTAAAAGAGAATAATTCTTATCCAGAAAAGCTAACTGATTCACGTACTAGTTCTGCTGTGCCGCGACCTAACTTAAGGATATTTTGTGAGAGTTTTAACATAAAATATTATCTTATACAACCTAAAATGTTATACAATTTATAATAATTTTGATTACAACCGAAAATATTACATTACAGTAGACTTTAACATAAAATATTACATGCCTACTCTAAAAAGTTAGGCAATTAGTCATAATTTCGGTTACAAGAATATCTTGAATAGATTTTTAGATTGCAATACAAATAGTTATACAATTTACATGATTTATTATGAACTTAATAGTTTAAATTACGAACGGCAGCTCGGCTAGGACGGAAGGTGGGGGTTTGCTGCTAGGGTTTGAAGAAACAACGGGGACCGGGGGAATGGGAGCCCCACACACTGATATAATCAGGGGAAGAGTTTTGATTCCAAATAAAAATGGTTAATTACAAAGCAAGTCAATACATTGTCTAGGGTTTTCGGAAAAACGACTCCAACTTCCCAATTTTACAATTTGGTCATTCTTTTAATTTAGGAATTTAGGTCAAAATCTTTCAAATTCTAAGGTTTTAATTTAGGGATTTTTCGGTTTGTTACAAGAAAACAATCAATCCATTCCTTCAGAAACATACAATCCAGAATCATAACAAAAATGGATCATGAATCCATTTCAAATACAATAATCCACTCGAAAAATGAATATCTAACAAGGTTAAAGTCTGATTGTTTCCTTGTAATTGATTTTTTGAAAAACCTTTTTTTCATTTTTTTTAGTATTTGATTTGTGGAAAACAAATGTTTATAATTAGTAAAATTTTTAAAAAATTATTAACTAATAAAGAATTATACAATATCATCCAAACACCGTTTTATAAAAATTATAATTTATACGAAATTCATTTTTTAAAATCTGCCTTAATCTCCATATACTACTGAATCAAAAGCCATACGACAAAATGAGAATAACCCAAAGATCAAAAAAATAAGAAATAAAAAGAAAGAGAAAGAAAGGATGGATGGATTACCAGAAGCTCCATGAGGGACTCCATAAGATTCAAACGTGGGAGCAGCATCATAAATGGAACCTTTACAACCCATCCCTTCGGTAGCATTATACTCGGCATTTATACAACCACCCCATATCCTTCCTTGCAGATGCATCTTCTCGTAACCTTCTCCCTTAAACCACCCTTCCCTTTCCTCATTATCCGCATACTCCCGCCACGTGCCCTCCGCCTCGAACTCTCCCGGCAACGCCCCGACAAACGCCGCGAAAGAGAAGTCGTGGTTCCCCGACAAAAACACGTGCTTCTGATTCGGATATCGGTTCGGCAACGAGATTAAATAATCGATCACTTTGCGTGTGTCGGGTCCGCGATCACAGTAGTCGCCGAGGAAGATGACGGTGGCGGTGTTAAAGGATTCTGGGTCGATGTGGGATTCGAGGTTCGACCAAAGATTGAGGAGCTTTGTGATGTGGCCATGGATGTCTCCTATGCAGATTATCGTTCTGGGTTTGTTGTTGGGATCTGCCATTTCCCTTCTTCTTCTTCTTCTTCTTCTTTTTTTAGAAATCAAAGCGAAAAGAAAAATCAAATAGCCAAAGTTAATCGTTCCACCCAGCCACAGGGCACATTTTCTTGGCCCGGGATAAAATTAAAAAAAATTGGACTCTAATTTAAAAAAATATTAAAAAACATATAATATTAAATTTTAATTACTTTTTTATTAAATTAAATAAATATTAATTTATTATAATATTAAAAATGTCAAAAACATATTTAAATATATAAATATTTATAAAAAACATTATCTTCGAGCATTTCTTGATGTAAAATCATTGATTATAGTGTCAACATTAATGTTTTCCAACATATTTTCTCAATATATAACATAGCGAGCCCATTCAATCTTTCTTGTGACATTTTTTACCTCAAGTAATTTTTCAATAATTTCAGCTTTAAAAAACTTTTTTCCGCAGATGCTACCGTTACCAGTATTGTTAATAAGATTCGATAAGCAATTGAAACATTAGGATAACAATCTCTAGGTTTAACACACTTAAGAACTTCAAGCGCTGACATAAATACATTTGGCAAAGTCAATTTTAACACTTTATTTTTAGAAAAAAATCATCTACATCAACATTCGACAAATTATTATGAGAAAAAATAATCTTAAAATTATTACAACATTCTTTTAATAAGTCAATAAAAAATAAATTTATGGACCCTACTTTTAATTTAGTTTATTAATATTTATGGGTCATGCTTTTAATTTAATATATTAATATAATTTTTAACGTTATGATAAGAATAATAAATCAATAAAAAATAAGTTTATGAATCTTCTTATATTAATATAAAAAAATTGTATATAAATATTTATGAATCTTATTTTTAATTTAATCTATTAAAATATAATAAATTAATATAAATTAAAATCAGAGCCGGCCCTGCCCAAACACCCCCTCCCTTTTTATGGGGTAGCTAAAAAATTATCACTTTTGTAATTGATTATGTGTATGAATTGTAAGCTACGGCATCACCTGCATGGCAAGTACCCAAAAGGTAATTATTACCTGTTTTTAAATTAAATTTAATTCTTACTTTTTTAAATAAAATATTTTCCATGCGACACTCTGAGCCCCCTCCGCACCAGTTTTGTTTGCATGCAGTACTCTGGACACGGCGTGAAAATACAACATTATTTCCTTCCCCTCACATGCACTGAAACCTCACCTGCAGCACCACAATTATTGTACCCATTTGAATCTCTCAAGTGAAAGCATGGTGATGAATATATCTGTTGGCGGTGAGGGAGCCACATCTGGATGAAGGTGATTCGAAATTTTATCTATTAGTTATTTTTTATATTAATAGTGTTTATTTTGAAATTTTTTATATTTATATTAAAATTTTATTTGTATTCATTTTATTTAATAATTTTATATTGTTAATATATATATATATATATATTTACTCAAAAAAATATTTTTAAATCCATCACTGAATATTCGCACCATGCTTCATGTTTCAGTTTCATCCAAGTGAAGTGAAGAGTGAAGAGTGAAGAGTGAAGAGTGAAGAGTGAAGAGTGAAGAGTGAAGAGTGAAGAGTGAAGAGCGAAGAGTGAAGAGAGACAGAAAGAAAGAAGGGAAAAGTGTTCGCTTTCCGTTCGAATATTAGATATTAGAGGTAAATGTATTTTTTTATTTTAATCAAATATTAGTATATAATTAGATGGCTGATATTTTACAATAATGCAATTGGAAAAAAATTATTCGAATAGTGTATTCTCGAAATTATTTCTTTTATTCTTACACCCCAAAGACACATTACAATCAATGTGACTTTAATATAAATTTTGAGATTTTTTTCATATTTTATTTTTTATTTGCTCGAATGAGATAAATGCTACCGTACACAGGAGATCGTACAAGGTCGCATGAAATACTATGCTACTCTTCTTCCTTTGGATCACAATGCGTCTCTCCCCCCAATTCTAGATCACATTGCGTCTCTCTCCCCCTCCCTCAAATTTTGTGATTTTACTGAAATATCACCCTGACAGGTAATAATTATCTATCAGACACTTTTTCTCTTAATTTTACCGATCTAACACTATTTATCACAAGACACGGATCGTTCGCAGGGTTTTGTCCGAGCTGGCGCCACGTAAGAGAAGGCGCGTATGACTGAACCTCTGACATATTCTGACAATGTGTGGGTCGTCATCCGCGCCTTAGAATTTTAAAAATATATATATACTTTAAAAAATTAAAAATATATAGGGACTAACATTGTAATTTAATATATATTAGTTCCATGAGTTGAAGAGCTTAATGCGGTTAGCTTATATAGGCATTTTGTAGTGTTTAGGTTATATTTCTTGACAGTGTTTAGAAACTATAAAACAGAGATCAATGCTCCTTATTTATATTCATAAACATTACATGTATATTTACAAATATAAAGATCTACAATATGTAAAGTAATATCCTATATTAATTATATAATATTCTATATTAATTATATAATATTCTACATCAAATACAATATATATTAATCTATAAGATTTAAGCTGCAAATCCCTAAAACTCTCCTCAAGTTAAAGCATAGATATTAATCATGTCCAATTTGTTATATAGATAATCAATCCAAACTCTGTTAAGGGTCTTTATGAAAATGTCTCATAACTTGTTATATATTATGTATAATATATATTTTTTTTGAATAATTTATTATTTATCATTTTTTAGTATTTTATTTTTAATATATTTATTTATATTTTAAATATTTGAATTAACACATTGTCAATAAATACACCTTTTAGCTTTTATCTCACATTGTCAAGAAACATAACTTAAACATTCCAATATGTCTATATAAGTTAATCTCATTAAGCTCTAATATGTATTAAATTACGATGTTAATCCCTATAGTTTTATTTTTTTAAATTTTTTAAAGCATATTTTTTCAAAATGCTGAATATGTCAAAGTTTCAACGTCATCTGCTTCTTCCCTTACGTGGCGCCAACTCGGACAAAACCCTGCGAAGGAGCAAATAGTGATCTGTGCTTTCTAAGAAAGGGCGCTAAATATATAAAATTAGGAGAAATTATGTCTGACAGGTAATTATTATATGTCAGGGTGATATTTCAGTAAAATCACCCTAAAATTTAGCCTTCCCAATTTTTTATATAAAGATTAAAACTTAAATAAAAAATAAAATATAAAAAAATCCCCAAATTTTATTTTTGAGTCGCATGGACTAAAATGCGTCTTTGGGGAGCAATCACCCTATTTAAAGAAATAATTCTGAACAATTTTTTCAACTACATTATTGTAAAAAATCAGCTAGAATTATATAGTTAATTTAGATTAATTTTAGATAGAATTTTTCTTGTTTAGATTAATTTATTATTGTTAACATTTTGTTTTTTGTACGGATCTATTCAAATGGAAGAACAAAATCAACTGCTTCATCTTGACGCTCAACATATTTATAGCCATTTGGGATTGATAGTGCTATTCTATTATTGTTTAATTTTTAATAAAATATTATATTTTATTTATGAACACAACCGTTATTATTAAATGGTAAAAGTTTATTTTATGATTAATTATTAATTTTATGATTTAATTAATTGTAGGAAGACCCACAACAAATCCTTCGTAATCGAATCAATATTCCCAGGAAGCCACACGAGTTGATTAAATATAACTTGCAACATGCTGGATTTTATTATGTACCCGGGTTTGATCAGTGCATTGATTGAATGTTGGAGACCAGAGACACATACGTTTCATTTTACGTGTGGAGAATGTACAATAACTTTGAAAGACATGGCCTTTCAACTCGGTGTCCCAACAAATGGGATTCCAATAGTGCATGATAATAAGTATCAGGTGCATTTTGCTTGCGATACGTTACTTGGGAAGTCACCAGTACCACAAGATCGAAGTGGCTGACGTTTGAGAATAAGTTTCCATGGATCGAAATAGTACGAAAGAAGAAGTTTTATATGAAACTCGAGCATATATATTGGAGTTGATTGGGGGAGTTTTGATGCCGAATAAATCCGGTAGTTATGTTCACAGTCATTATCTCTCATTTTTGAGCTATTTTTGGATGACTCGTCAATATAGTTGGGGATAGGTGGTATTAGCGTTCTTGTACCGTGAGATGTACAAGGCGTCAATAATCGTAAATAATAATGTTACAATAGGAATCGATGGATGTCTTATGCTACTACAATGATGGGTATGTCATAGACTTCCATTTTTAACACCGATTAGTCGAACTACGTTTTCAGCAGTGATAGGAAAACAAAGTATTGATATAAGGGAGCATAGTGGTAGGCATATATTTCTAGTGAATGATGAGGACAACTTCCACACTCCTGAGCAAGCACTAAGGACACAACGCACTCGACGTCCACCTAGATGTTATTATTCAACAACACCCCAACACCGACAAGAATTATAAAGTCCAATTCGGTATTTTTTATTTTATAAAAATATATATTAAATAAAATGTTATTTATTCTTATCAAATGGTTTAATTTATCATGTATTAAAAAATATAGAAATCCATCACACTCATTCAAATTGAAATAAAAAAGAAATTTGGCATATTCGTTCAAATACAAATACTTATATGATTACTGATGAGGCATGTATGTTGGTAGATTTGGACACATTTTTCTAATGATCTTCACCCCCTACATAGTCCACATCTCTTTGGTTGAGTTTTCTCTCTACTATGGAAATCCATATACTTGTATGAATACAAGTAAACTTAGGTCGACCCTTTGGACTTCTACGAAGCATTGAATTTGGTAGCCATCTGTCATGATTCTTTCTCGACCAATATGATTCATTTGGGAGAGGAGCAAACTCATAGCTGTAGACATTTAATATCCTCTGTAGGTGAAAACACTCATTAACATAACTGTACGTGCTTACACCAGCATGCATACATGCAGCGACTACATGAGAACAAGGATATCTATATGCCTAAAAGCATCCACAGTCACATTATTTGTGTCGTAAATCAACTCTAAATGTTTGACCTTCTGCTCTTTCGTTACAGTGTATGCATGACACAACAAAAGTATGAC